ACCCCGTTTGGGACTAAGTGGTATAGAAAATGGATGGATAGCTAAGTGTTTGTAGTTTGTCTAACTTCACTTGACTTATAAAAGGACAAACCGCCAACCCTGAGAGGAGAACCCACTGTACCTGAGCTACAGCCACCTGTCGTTTGGTCCCTATACTAACAAATGCTTCAAATTATCAATCACAAATGCCTGACTGATGAGTGTGTGGGTGTTTCCTAAATCTCTTATATGGGTCGTCACTTTCCTTAAGTCTTAGTCCCGCCTACGTAAGATGCAAGGACAAATTGTGAGGAGAGAGGAACCGAGGATACACACTGTAACAGACATGGCATGTCATTTCCTCCGATCCTGTATGTGTGTCAGTCAGACTTCTGCAAAGGATGTGGTCGTGTGGTCGTGTGTCCTAGGTTACACGTCCTCCAGCAGCCTACTCGCTCCTCAATTCTCACTTGACCCTGAAGTCTTTCCAGTTGCATGAGGAGCCAGGTATGAGCAAAGAAGTGAAATGAGTTTTACTGTTGATGTTGCATGTGCTTTGTGTGCTCAGGTGCCTGTGTCTGATGAAGATCGCTGTCAGCCAGGGCTCCAGACTGCAAGTGATCAGTCACATTTTTCGACCAAATTTATTGATTGAAGGTGCAAATGAGGTGGGTGCACAGGATGTGACTGCAAAACAAACAGCTTATGCACAAATGACTGAAATGGTGGACAGACATAATGGTCTCCGCCATACTGTCACTGCAGCGTTTATCTGCAGGTCTGTCACATGCCTGTCTCACAAAGCAAAGACTACCAATCCGTATCAATCCACACCGACTCTGAGACACACTCGTCATCGCTGGGTCCATTTTTTTAACACATCAGGTCTGTTTTTTTGCACCAGGCAGCTGCTTAAATCAGGTAGATCACCTGTTAGCCTGTTTATGTGTTGGAAACTTTTTACTTGAGTCTCTTTTGATGGATCAGGCTCCTGCTTTCACTGCTGTCCTCCTGCTGACAGACAGCTGTTCTGACCAGAGACGCTGCACGAAGGTCAGAGTGGATTGAACGGATCAATCATGTCACGCATACACACCGCTTACATCTAGTGAAGTCACAGTTTGAAGTTATAGTGGCTGAAACCCACCATCAGTCCTTCCTTAAATAGTAGGCTACTAGTAACTTTAGCCCAAGAATAAGCTGGCACTGGCCAGGCAAGTGAGAGAGCTGCACTGTGCAGAAGGTCCAGCACAGACATCACCAAAGAGCAGAAATTCTTCTTCTGAAGAAAGGCGAGCTACAAATGCATCACGTACACAAACAGCAAACCAGCTGAGATATGACAAGCTAATCAGCAGCAGCAGTGTCACCATTATCATCATGTTGACTGCTATACAGCGCTAAAGTGACAACATGAAAAAAGCTGGAAACTTGGAAGTGATTTTCCCATTTATTGTGCTCCACAAGTCGCCCTCTCTGAATCTCATTAGAAACCTAGGCTATGTGCACTGGATGGTAAGGGGATTTAAAATGATTTATAAAAAACAAGTTATTTTGCTGTGAGCTCAAGTTTGTTATAAAATCCTAATTTCTGATGTACACCTAGTTTAGTCTAACTCAAGTGCAATAAACAAATAGCCTGTTTAGTAGAATATTTAACTGAATACAGTAGGCTATTGAATAAGCTAAATAAACACTGAGCCTAGATCTTACTAAATAACAATACATAAGACAACTATGTGAATCTCAAAGAAATAAAATGTGATAGCTACTATTTATAAACTGTAGATATTTGATTTTGGATCTTGGTGAAATCTCTAAACTATTTCAGACAAAGATATGAGAAAACATAGAACACTGAGAGCTTAGAGTAGGATCTGAGTGAGATGAGGAGGCTTATCTTTAACTTGCACAGTTTCAAGTTAAGGGGTGAAACAACAGAAACAGTGAGCTTTGCCAAAGCCTCACCTTTTGCAGTCCAAGGCTTTTGCATACTTCAAAGCCAGATCCAGACCCTGTCTGAACTCTGCCTCTCTCCCAGGCACTGCTCCAAGTCCAAGATCACCCGCCTTTACGTCTCCTGAGACACACATACAGGGTGCATCACTTGTCATAAGGGTACATAAGATCCTTCCTACGTCCTTGGTCGAACCTGAAGTAATTCGACCGAGAACGTATCGGACCCGAAGACCCAGGAGGACCGTGGGCGGTGCTGGAGGGGCTGTGACCGAGGGTACACGAGACCATCCATCACGGAAGTTTTTTGTGAACTGACACACCCCTTTATCTGAAATTAGTTGGTGATTGGACAGTTAAGGTGAAAGCGAGGAAAGGACGTCTCATGTTAATAACGTGTTTCTTAATAACTTGTTGGAAAAGACGTGAGATGTACCCATACATCCCATCACATCATCTAGCTAGTTATTACTAAACATATCAGTGGCCAGTGGTTGTACCTGGCGGGGTGTTGATGAGGACCACCTCCACTCCTGTAGCCTCTCTGGCCTTCCGAAGCTCCCGCAGGTCGGAGTCGTACAGCCAGGCTGCCTCCACCGCCTGGAAGCCAGCCGAGGCAGCCGCGTATATTCGCTGACTGAAGTCCGGAAGCTCCGTGAACAGCCAGGAAATATTCGCACAGAACTTGAGCTTCGCCATATCGAGGTTAAACTGTCGAGAGCAGTGACTGCACGCTGAACTTTAACCCTACTGTCAGCCGCAGCACACCGACACTAAGGCGGAAACGGAGCGTACGCTTCCAAAATAAAGCTACACGCCGATCAGCCATAACAATATGACCTAATGCTGTGGCAGCAGCTTGCTCACTGTGCATCTTCTGTGGATCTGTTTGCTTCCTTAGTTGAACAAGACATATTTAAAAGTCAGCGTTTTGAGTTTGTATGTTTATGACACATTCATGTCTAACTTTGTGCGAGCTATATGTTTCAATGACCATTCGAGATCATACACTGTGTAACTGTTAAAACGACTGTTGTGAAATCCACAAGCTACAATAAAATCAGACTGAAGCTCAGCATGCACTGAATGGTTCAAGGTAATCTCTCATTTTGATCATGCAAATCAAAAACCCTGGGTGTGACTAGAGGGACACAGAGCCTATGGACTACTTATTTGGTCAAAACTGTGGCAGTACCACAAATACCTTTGCAAAACACTACAGTCAAAGGTTAAATTATGGCACTGTGTTTCAGTAAGTAGTCAGAAATGATTAGCTACATTACAAGCAAAAATATAACTTGTCATACCATTTTAACATTGTGTTCCTGACTCCCATCAGCACAGCTTCTTCAGCTTCTCACCACTGAACGTCACGGACAAGTGTTCCCTCCTGCTAAGGTCAGAACTGCCTCCGAGATGCCATGTCACATGGGTGTACACCCTGGACATTCACTGGGTTGTTCCTACAAAGAAAAGTCAAAATTGAGACACAGAGGAATTTTTTAATTAAGTAATACTATACAGTGTATTTCTAATACACCACTGGTTTGTGTTATGTCACCACAGGGCAGTTATATGGAAAGCACACTACTGCATTACAACCAAAGGCTGCTGTAGGCGTCTAAGCTGATCATCTCTCATGTAAACCAAGTGCCCCTCATGTTGCTTCCATGCCTCTGAATACTTGTAAACATATTAAAGGGACATTTTCTGTAGCAAACAAGTTCATCGTAATCTTTGGCAGTTTAGTCATCAAACAAGCCATTAACAGTTGTTGCTCTCTGAGCTGATGTTCCATTTCTGTACCTTCCACATGAGCTGAGATAATTATGCATTTGGTGTTGTTGTTACAGCTTTTTAACCTCTATAATCAATTACCACTCATTAAATGTGACATGAAGTTATTAAATACTGGGGAAACAGTGAAGTCCATTACCAAAAAGAGTGTGCCATCTGCCACCGGCACTTATTTTTACAGATTTAGAGTAGTACTAGAGGCCATCTAGAGTAACTGTATGGTTAGAGAGCATGTTTCTAAGGTTTGTAGGCCCAAATACAAAACTTTTCTAAACTCTTTAACACTTTTTGAAAGAGAATCTTCCACACAGCTGTTGTGTTGTCACCTCAGCCAGCCATTTCATTTCAGTCACATTAATAGAGGGGTTTTTAATCCAGTTGTTTCCATTAAGTCAGAGTAAACCTAAATGAAGTAACATAGCTGACTCTTAAAAAATCTTGAATAGCCCAGTTATGTTGCGTACCACATAATCGCAATGCCCATGGTCTGATTCCTGGCTGAGGGCTTTTGTTACACGTCATACCCTATCTCTTCTCCATGTTTTCCTGTCTGTACCTTTACCACCATCAGCTAGAAAAATTTTAAAAAGTCAAATTGTTCTGGTTAAATCTGGACGTTTTAGTTGTACTGTAGGCATTGCACCACTCTGGGCTTCCTCTGACTTCACCTCTAGTACCACCATGACATTGACATTTTGGCTTCAAATATCTGACAACTATCCGATGGACTGGCATGAACTTTAGCTTGGATATTATGGGGCCCAGATGTTAAATCCAGATGATTCAGTAATCTCCTGAATTTTCTTCTTTGTGTCACCACCAAAAGGTCAGTGTTTTAATTAATCCAGTAAAATATCTGAACACCTACTCAGCGAACTGGGACAACACAGACTACGTGACTCATCAGTCTTCCCTTGGTGTGGACATGTGTGCTGTAGTTAATGAGGTTTCCATCAGCACATCAGCAATTTCCTTTGCAGTGCAGGAAATTGAAAAGGAGAGCACCAGCCCTCATACATCTGTACACTAACAAGCCAACAGTAGGTTGACAGGCCGAGACAGGACATTATTGATTTTTTTAGCATTTCCTGATGGGTCATGTCCATTACAAAAATATGAAAAAATAACTTTTTCATAGAGAAAAACAGAATAATTATCTCAAAACAGGTTTGATTTTGAACATTGTTTGTTGCTACATGACCTCGATTGTGCAGTGTCATTTTTAGAAAAACACAATTTTTAATGTAGCTCAAGTATGAGTTGCTGAGTTATATCAATGAAATCATCCATCGATCCATCCATCATTTATGCTGCTTATTCCTGAACAGGGTCACAGGGGGGCTGGAGCCAATCCCAGCTGACACTGAGCGAGAGGTGGGGTCCACCCTGGACAGCTCGCCAGTTTGTCACAGGGCTGACATGTAGACAAACAACCATACACACTCACTCCTACAGGCCATTTAGAGCCACCAGTCAACCTAAGCTGCATGTCTTTGGATTGTGGGAGGAAGCCGGGGTACCCGGAGTGAAGCTACACAGGCACAGGGAGAACATGCAAAAGGCCTCAGGTCGGCCGGGGCTGGAACCCAGAACCGTGCTGTGAGGCAACAGCGCTAACTACCATGTTGCTGTGCTGCTATATTAATGAAATTGTTAAAAAATTTCTTGTGCACATAAAATATTAATTGTCTTATGCTAACAAGATACTAATGTGTCCCCACATGATAATGACTTGTTCACACAAGATTTTTAATAATGATCTCTTTACGGACTTTGTAGATGGCTGTTTGTTTCCTCTTTGTAACAGTCACCTTCTTTTAATTATTGTTGCCACACCTTAAACATGTGGTTAAAATTGTAACCATGACAACAAAGCATGCCTACAGTAAACCTAACTGACCCTTAACCAGAACATTGTCACACCATAAAACAGATTTATTTTTTGAACAGTGATTTGTAACAGTGTTTGAAGGAACAGACAAATGAAGCTAATGTTCAAGCAGGAACACGCTATACTGTGTACACACACTCCCTCTTCTCTTCACTCTCTATGACATGACTGTGGGCCTTCCACATATTAACCAATCAGTTTCTGCCATGGCCTAGGTGAGCCATTCTTCTCTTACCTGTCAGAGATTTAAAGCCATCCTTTTACCTGCTGTCAGGTGTCATTTCAGCGCTGCTGGTTGCAGCCCTCCTCCACCCCATTCACCTCCAGTTCCTCAGATCCGTATTCCAAGGGTCCGGTGTTGGGCTCACCAGTTTCCTGCTCCAGCCTCTTCTTCTGCATCACCTCTCACCTCATCTCAGGTCCTTCACCATCATCAGACTCCGAGTCCTCATATGCATCCTTCTCCTGGTTCCTGATTGTCTCATTGGCGTCCTGTCCTCTCTCATTCTCTCCATCCTCATCATCCTTCTCCACCACCAGTGTCTAGACTCAGGGGGATGATTCTCTATGCCATGCAAGGGCGGTCCTCTCACTTCTTAAGCTGTCTGCTCAAGGGAGTAGCTGCACCAAATTTATTTGATCTCTGTTCTTGAACTTTCAAGTAATAAACATTTAAACACTTCTGAACTGCTTCTTCTATGTCTCCCCTGATTGAAACAAGGCCATCCTGTTGTTAAGGGTATCAGATCAGAAAATAGTGTATTTTGTCATTATTGTTTAGTCTGAAGCATTTGTTGTCAACAGTTGATCTCTAAACCTGAGATATGTGATACTGTATTGAGCTGGAGCTAGTGTGTCTGGTTTGGAATATGGTACTGTACTGTCAGGTACAGTAGGCAAGCTGCTTTAGGTTGCAACTTACTGTTACAGGTGTCCAGAGTTATTGCTGGCTTCATTATCTGTGCAAACAGCCCTGCTGACTTAGTCTAATATATGCAAATGCTAACAACAAGAGCTGATAATAGTGGTTCAGCTGATGTTGTGTCATTTCTACTGGCATCCTCTGCCTGTGGGAGAGCCCAGGGAACTCACTGCACTCCAAGGCAGAAATCTACTGCAAAAAATTAAATATATAAAATATGTTGTCGCACACTAAAGAGCCTGTCTTTTCCATTTATTCACAAGTGTAACTGCACAAACATACATTTTGCCACAGGCTTTATCAGGCATGCATCGCAATAATCTTACCCACAGAGAACAAGAAATAATTTTGGTCCCATCAGACAGTCACAGTAAGGCTGTGAGAAAAAGAGCTGCACCTATTTCTCTGACCACTTCATGGTGCTCAAAAACAAAATACATATGCAAACATAACAGCTGTTTCACTGTGTTCACTGTGCTGTGGATCACACAACAGCTTAGTTGTGTGTAGACATTTTACTAAGAATGATAGATTAGAGATTGGCCTGTAGTTACTCAGTGTTGATCAGTCTAAAATACTTTTTTCAAAAAAAAAAAAAGGCTTAACAAGTGCTGTGTTAAATGCTTTAGGAAAAACACCCAGCTGTAAAGAAGGCTTAGTGCAGGGGTGCCCAATAGATCGCGTGCCATTCAAAAATAAAGTAGATGTATCCGGCGTAAAACACGTGCCAAATGTTAACATGGTCAGTGTGACGATTCGCTATGGCGACCCCTAACAGGAAAAGCAGAAAGTGCCAATCATTCATATATAGCCTATCATCCATTTGCTACTTGATTGACATGCAGGGCAGCCAGTCTGAGATCTTGTCTTTTCTGACCCACGAGTCACCAAACATGCACAGTCACTAAGAATCACTAAGTCGCGTGTAGGAGGACTTTTTTTTCGTGAAGTTATATTCGAAGTGCGTTTGTTAGATCTACCAATCTACCATCGCTATTCCGAAGGGAAATGTAGAGCGGCACTTTCAGACTGTTCATAAAAACTAGACACTCATTCATACATTTATTTTGTGTGTATGTGTGTGTGCGCGCACGCACGCGTGTAGGTCGATCATTTTGACTTCGTCATTTGAAAAGTAGCTCGCAAGGCGAAAAAGTGTGGGCACCCCTGGCTTAGTGATTCTTAAAACATCTTCAGATGCTGAATTAAAAAGATTTTTTTTAAAAACAAGGTTGGAATTGAGTTTAGAATAAGTGGACTTCCCTTTTGTTACTACTATAAAATCTTTCCAGTGTGGCCTC